TATATATATATATATATATATATATATATATATATGTACATATATATATATATATACACACACACACATACATAATAGAATTCTATACTTCCATCAGAAAGTATGATATTGTATCATTCGTAAGGAAATGAAAAAGCAAAAACATATACTTAGACATGATAAATTATACAGGACACTAGACCTTCATGTAGTGAGACCGAAGGAGGATATTTTTAGGAAAAGCTCAATAGCTATGTGCATATGATCATATAAAATGATGTTTATTGAAATGTACTACAAGAAATGGAAAAAAGAGGTTTTATTGTTATTTTATTTTTGTTTCTCTTTTTGTTTTTTCTCCTTTGTCACTGTTTTTGCTTTCTGTACCTTTTGTCTTATATGTAAGTTTATCTGTTTGGGGAGGGTTGGGAGGAACACAGAAATGGTAGGAAAAAGGATGAACAAATGCAGCAGTGATACTCACTAGATACTATGGTGAAATGAACTATACAAGTTGGGGGGAGAGTGTTAGGAGAGAAAACTGGGAGAAGGTGAGGGAAAGGGTACACTGTTCAAAAAGAAATGCACTCATTACCTGAATTATGTAACAATAACCCCTGTGTACACTGCCTTTACAATAGCAATTTGAAAAAAGAAGATTGCTCTTCATTCAGTGCTGGGAAAATGAGGAGATTGGGGGATGACATCTAAAAAGTAAGATGTGGGTGTTGCAAAATTAATCACCAAGATAAGTTACACAGCTCAATGAATATACTAAAAATATATGAATTCATAAAGTAAGCGTTTAAGTTTTCCATTGAGTGAATAATGAACCACAGTCAGCAAGGAAGTAGTATTAGTCCTGAAAGTAATCTGTGTGGAATGAGTTAAAAAGATACTGTCAATATGCTTATAACTTTGAAGGGCTAACAAAGAGGCACACAACAGTACCATGGGCAAATGATTCAAGGTTTGCAATGGTTAAAGACCCTCAGGTCACTGAAGAGATTTACAGACTATAGAGTTTAGAAACCTGGACATGTCAGAAAGAAAGTTTTCCTGTTCATATTCACTTTTCAGAATTCCCTGAGTCAGTGTGCTCAGTTTGTGTAAACTAGTATTGATGTTAAGGTTCTGATGTCAGCTTATACAGAGCAACTAAAGCTTCCATAGATTTGTGACAACTGCTGTAAATGAGGAGAAATGACTCATGTGATTATTTAAATCCAAATATTAAAATCACACCAAGTTTATAGTAGTGTCATGATTATTTTGAAGGTATAAATAAGTCCACTCATGGTTAAGATTTTTCCACAGCTTCAGAGAGAGACTAGCAAAGCACTTTAAAAAAACATTTCTTACCATTAATGTTGCTTTGAAGTTGCAACAGAAATAAAAACATTGGCTAAATGCCAATGACTCATACCTGTAATCCCCACTACTCAGGAGGCTGAGATCTGAGGATGGCAGTTCAAAGCCAGATAGGGCAGGAAAGTTTGTGAGACTCTTGTCTCCAACTTAACACCAAAAAGACAGAAATGTAGTTATGACTTAAATGGCAGAGCATTAGCTTTGAGCAAAAGAAACTGAGAGACAATGATGAGGCTCTGAGTTCAATTCTCAGTACGGGCACATAGATAGATAGATAGACAGATACATACATACATACATATATACATAATACATAGATTGATAGATAATAAATTATATTATTTAAACAAGATAATTAAGGGGTTATATGCTATCTAGAAATTCTTCTAGTAAATACACTATAAAATAGTAAATATTTTATATAATAATCATTACAGAACATGTTTGAATGTTTTTCCTATTCAGAAAATGTTTGCTTATATTCTTAAGACTTTCTAGCAACTTATTGATCTGACAAGGAATTAGTCCCTCTTCAATGATGGAAATGTGAAGCTCAGATTTAACCAAAGTACCAATGAATGTGAAACTTAAATTCATGCCTTGTTTCCTTCTATCATTTATTCAGTCATTCAACTAATATTTATAATTTACTTGCCCATTTATTTAATAAATAGTAGAACACATTCTTATTACACTCTACTAGACATCAGAATGTAAAGTTGAAGAAAAGTTCATTCTAGGCTTTTATGGGGTTTAGAATTTTGTAACTCATGGCCTAAATATTTTCTAAATAATTGAAGGCATTTGTATAAAACTACTTGAATAACCTACTACATGTGAAAATTCAATATTTAAGCAAATATATTGAGAGAACGGTAAGCAAGCTTGACCTCATAGTAATGAACAGTGTTAAGCTCTACACCAAGATGCCCTGTCTAGACTAAGTACACGCTGAAATTCAATCCCTTCTCCACTTATCAAGGGTGTATGTGAGCACAAAATTGTGTCCAGACTGAGGGAGGGAATAGAATGTCCATGTCATTTTTTGAAGGCTAGCCTAGTAATAATTTATATTGTTACCTGCCATGACACTTAAAATGGCCTCTACTTAAAAACACAGTGAAGTAATAACTGTGATTATTTCAATGGAGAACCTTGTCGTAGGGCCTCTTCCAAAAAAAATGAATAAAATGCTATGTCTAATAAAACAAACAAACAAAAGGGCATTTTCAGAAAATTCTTAGCTACAAATAGTTTGAATCCAATATCTTGTTTTGGTCAAAAATACGATATTAACATATTTTTATTAGACTGCTAGTTATATTTCTCCAAGCCTCATTTGCAATCCCAGATTCCACTTAGTTCATTAACTAAAACGAGAAACTATGTATTTGCAAGTGGCATAAGTTTTGTCTTTTCAAGTTGGAAGCCATAGAAGAATCTGAAGCACTATTAATATTCCATTTCAATTACAAGTTCTTCAGAGGGTGAGAAAATAGCCTGGAGGCTAAACCTCTAATCCTTTTCAGCATTGCACCCTCCCCTGGCATTTACAAGGAGCACTGCCAAGTGACAGTCCTGGAGACACATGGCTAGGAGCTCCAGGGAGGCCTGGCTGCAGCAGCAGAGTGTGAGGTCCTGGTGATGGAATTCCTCTCCTCCAGGGAGGGAGGGGCCTTCCTCTTCTTGGCAGGCCTACCTTTCTCCACTTTCTCTTTCCCCCTTCATTTTCCTCTTCTCAGCCTTCTCTAGACAATGTTGACTTTCACCTTCCACCCCTCCTCCCACCCCTAGGTAAGCACCAAAAAATAAAAATAAAATGAATAGAAAAATAACCTACTAGCTCATTCTCCAACCCTTCAACCTTTATTCTCCTCAATTCTCTCTAGTTTTCTGTACTTCATTTAGTCCTCCTATTTGGAAATGGACTCTTTCTGCAATTCAGAATTGCTAACATCTACTGGCTAGTAGAGAATTCAGGAGTATGATTAGAAAAAGGATCCACTCTTTCAAGAGTCTCCAGGCTACCGTTGCTACTGTGAAACATTCTCAGGTCTTTGCCATCTGCAGTGGCTCTGTCCACTATGGAAAACACAAAGACAGGCGAGAAGAAGGATCCTGGGAGACAGGGAGGGTCTGTGATCTCAACGGACTCTACTTACAGTGTCCATCAAGGTGGGATTATGTCTTCTGAACAACAAAGCAAGCCACAAACAGCCAACTGGTGATTCAGTGTATTGAAGAAGAGAATGTTCTAATCTTTCCACTCTGTTTAATTCCTGTCTTGTAAAACCAAAGGTGGTGTCCACATTTAGTAAGTGTATGTGTTGCGTGATGTCCACAGATTTTAGTTAAAATAAGATAGTGAGTCTCATCTAACTAACTTCAAACCAGAATCTTAAAGTCCAGGAGTCTGAGCAGTGGCCAGTGGTTCATTTCTGTTAGCCTGTCTACTGAGGAGGCTGTGAGCAAGGATCCAGAGGTTGGAAGCCAGTCTGAGTAGGAAAGCCCACCAGACTCTCATCTCCTTAACCACCAGAAAGTAGGGGGAAAAAAGCTGCAGTTCAAGTGGTAGAGTGCTAGCCTTGATCAGAAAAGCCTAACCAGGCACTGGTGGCTCATGCCTATAATCCTAGCTACTCAAGAGGCTGAGATCTGAGGATCATGGTTCAAAGCCAGCCCGGGCAGGAAAGTCCATGAGACTCTCATCTCCAATAAACCACCAGAAAACAGGAAGTGGCACTGTGGCTCAAGTGGTAGAGCGCTCGCCTTGAGCTGAAGAGCTGAGGGAAAGCGCCCAGGCACAGAGTTCAAACCCTACTACTGACCAAAAAAAAAAAAAAAGAGAGAGAGAAAAAAAGAAAAAGAAAAGCTTACGGACAGCACCTAGCCCTAAGTTGAAGCCCACTATCACACACACACACACACACACACACCCCTAGGTGTCTGACTGTTGACCATGGACCTATACTTCTTTTCCTTGGGCTGTTCTATCTAAACTTTTACCTTTATCACACCCCCTCATCTGTTAAAAGTGGGCATTCTGATCTTTATTAGTTACATCAGTCCTTTCTTAATTTTATCGAAGACCTTAAAAACATTTGGATCCACTTAAATGATTACATTTTTAATTCTGCTTCAAAGGTTTAAAAAGTTAACTAAAGCCAATTATTCAGATGACTGTAGCTTTTTTTTCTTTCTGTTTCATTAAGAAATAGCTTCCCTCACGTGACTGTTATAGCTCAAACTTGTGTAATGGGGGAGGGGTAGAGACATTTTGATATATTACTGAGTAAATGTAAATTGCTGAGACTCTGAATCCCAAATGAATATCATCAAGACAGTGCTGGCGCCACTGAGGTGTACTCTAAGAGTAGCCTCCAGGCAAGGTGGTTTAAATAGTATTAAGCTACGGAAAGCGAAAGTGTAAGCAATTTTCCCCCATAGTTTCTGAAGGAATGCACCATACATCACGGAAGGCTTTCAGAACATTCAGACACAGGAAACTGTTTCATATCTTAGAAATTTAATTTATGGTAATTTTAGAAGCATCCATCCAAAACTCATAAATTCAAAAATGTTAAATGCTTAAAACTTATAGCAGGAGGGGAAAAGAGTTAAAAATAAAGTTACTTCCTTCTAAAATTGAACAGGTGGGAATATGTGAAGAATAATGAAGACGAAATGCCTTTCAAATTATTTAGCTCAATTTATATATATTTTTCTTAATTATGGCAAGCAGAGGCTGGGTTGACAGCTCGGGTTTCTGACTTTCTGATTCTGCTTTGAGACTAATGGTCCAGCACCGGTGGTTCATGTCTGTAAACCTAGCTACTTAAGAGGCTGAGATCTGAGGATTCAAAGCCAGCCTGGACAGTATCCTTGCAAGGCTTATCTACAATTAACCTCCCTCCCCCAACACACACGCGATGAGACTAATGATGAAAACAATAAGCACATGGGGTTTTTAGTCTGGAGATGTGGAAATCCATACGCTTGGTGTTTTGCTTAACTGAAATGAAAGCTTTAAATTTATAACTAAGGATTAAGAGGATGCCAAAAAATAGAAAGGAAGAAGAGGCAGAAGAGAGGAGGAGCAGGAGCAGGAGGAACAGAGATGTTCTCCCAGAGAAAGATAATACCAAGGGAATAGCAAGGGTGGATGTTATCAGAGGGTGCAAAGGCAGACTGACTCCCAGCCAGTAATACAGACTAAGGAAGAGTCAGCAGCTGTGACTTCCCAAGACAAAGTAGACTTTTTCATGGAAGTATTGATAACTTTTCTTCTTCCAAGATTCTCATGAAAAACAATTGTGTGTTACTTTTATATGCTTGAAGAGTGTCCTTTACTTGCGCTGTATCAAACCACAATGCACAGTCCTTATGAGTCTTTTTAACTAAGTCCTTATACTGGTTGAATATACATCCATTCATATTCCCCATCCTCTAGTTACAATGATTGGCTCCCCCTTTGTTTCTTCTCTCTTAAAAATCAAGTTCAAACCAAGCTGGCGGCTCATACCTATAAACACAGCTACTCAAGAGGCTGAGTAGCTGAGGCTGAGGATCCTTGTTTATCTGCCCCAGAGAAATCCAAGAGACTCTCATCTCCAAAAAACCACCAAAAAAAAAAAAAAAACAGGAAGAGAAGTGTGGCTGGACTGGTAGAACACCAGCCTTTGGCAAAAAAGCTGAACAAGAATGCAAGGCCCTGAGGTCATACACAAGTGATGACATAAAAATATAAAATTCAAGCCATTTTTCTCACCTAAGAAAATTTGACATTCTTCTGCTTGAATTTCCCTAGCTATTCTAATACATACATATTTCTTTTCGTTGATCTTTTTTTGGTTGCTCCTTGCTCTATATTTTCTGTATGCCTTGCTCTATTCTATTAACCCTTATTTGTTATGGTCCAAGCCTTCCATGGCTTAACTTACATCCTTTTAATACTCTTATTTTCTACAAGGAATTGCTATATATTTTTATTAGCCAGAAAAGTTTGTATTTATGCAAAAAATCAATGTGTTTTATTCTCTACACAGATAGCATTTTTTTAAAAATCAATAATCTGTTTTCTTTAAGCAGATTCCCTCCCCCCTCCCATCTAGGTTTTGCAAACTCTGTATCATAAATAGTAATCCATTTGGGGGGAGGGAGTACTAACCTTTTATATTTATCATGCCTTTTAAAACTTCTCAGTATTTTATGAATATAATCTACAGCAGAACTCGACATCTATTATGGGAACAGCTCAACAGAGGTTGAGCAATGCTGTTTGTTCAGTAGCTGGAGCTCTTTCTGCTACTGCCATCTAGTGGTGCTCCACACTGTGTACAATTTTCAGAAGTATTTTCTTAGAAATTAAATGGGAGCAGAATCCAAATATCCAAGAGATGCCCCAAACTGTAAAGCATAACGAACTTTATTTCACACTGTATTGAAATACTGTTTGTGTTATCTAAAGATGATCAAACAAAATATATTTGAAAATAAAACTCGCTAGTTAAAGATATGTTAAAATATACCTACACACTGAGCCCTGAATTAATAAATGTACTCCTCCTCTGCCAGTGGCTGTATCAGAGTCAGGTTCCTAGAATCCCAGCCATGTGTCAGGCTAGTAGCAGAAGACCTACCACATTCAGAGTCTATCTGTGTCCATCGGGACCTTTGAAACTGGAAGAAGAGTTCCCAGAGTTCCCAGACAGATCTAAGAGCAAATTTCCTCAACGAATTCTCTATAGTCACTTAAGTTTTCTTCATTTGTGGAAGATTAGAGTCAGTGAGTCAGCACCTAGTACAATTCCTAGTAGTTAACAGTACTCGGTAATCTTTGTTGAATGAATGGATTTAACAGATAGTAAAATGAAGTGTTGCTCCAAAGGAGAGTCTAATGAGGCCATTGGCTTTGATATAAGCATAGCACTGTGTGTTGTAAATGAATCCTTAAACTGTCCATGAATCCTGCAATTTCTCCTATTTCATCAGGAAATAAAGGAAGCTAATTTTGAAATCTGACATCTTTATTTTGGATTCTTCTTTTGTAGCTCTTTATCAAAATCCTTTGTGCCAGTATAACCTGTACCGTTTATACATCATCTACCATCTTCCGGGAGTCAAGCTGCTTGACCGAAATCGTAAGATCTCCTTCCTCCTTGCAGAGAAAATACTTGATAAGCCTTGTCATGAATCAGTGGTTTTAAGATGCAGGGGGGAAAACAGTCTGAAAATTTGTCTTTGTCAAAGAATGCTGCTGAATAATCATAAATGGAAGTTTTGAATGAGTTAATTTTCCTTTTTTTTTCTCTCTCTCTCTGAACTTGAAGCTAGTTTAGAAGTCTAGTTATCTGCCACTTCACAGAAAGGTCATTGAGCTGAGAGTGACAAACATCTCCTTATGGTACTGCCTTGACATTCACATGCTGGATGCACCATCATTGATCCTGTGCATACCACACACTTAACTCAAAAGTCACCGCACTGATCTCACTCTCTTAAGGACTTTACTTTCTTCGGAATCCATATGTGTTCAGTCCGGATGTCACACCATTTTTTTAATTTTAATTTTATTTTATTGTAAAGTTGATGTAGAGAGGGTTTACAGTTCCATAAGTAAGGTAATGAGTACATTTCTTTTTGAACACTGTTACCCCCTCCCTTGTTTTTCTCCCACTTTCCCTCCCCAACCCTGTTCCCTCCCCCCAAGTTGTAAAGTTCATTTCCAACCTAGTGTCTTGTTAATATCGCTATGGCATTGGTTTACTCTTTGTCCTTGTGTCACTATTTTGTTATTCCTCTTCCCTTTCTCAAATTAGATAAATGTATAATATATACAAGACACAGAATCAAACACAGTGACAACAGGGTGTAAACCAAAGGGGGGAAAAAGAAAGAAGTGCTTACAGTACATCAAAACCACCAACATCAACAATAACAACCACAAACCTTCTTGTTTCCATATCTTGGAGTTCATTCCTATTAGCATCATTTTGTATAGTTATATGTACATAGCTATTGAGCTATTGTGATACATTGCCATATACTAATTATTACAAATGAGGGAAACCATGGAGCCTATGTTTCTTTGGGTCTGACTTACTTCACTTAATATGATTTTTTCCAAGTCTTTCCATCTCCTTACAAATGGGGTGATGTCATTCTTTCTGATGGAAACAGAATTCTGCTGCCATACTATTTTAATAAATATACTAACATGTTTGCTTTATATAAGCCCCATACACCCAGTCAACCTCAGTGCGTCTGTTTTACAGCTCTGTGGTCTACCTTACCCTTTCCTTCTTTATCTCTCACCTTACTTTCTAGCTCTACAAAATATTCTTCAGAATTTGTTACTGACTCACTTCTTTGTGTTAGGATATATCTAAAGCTCATGGTTAGGTCTCTTCTTTCCCATAACATTGAAGAAATTTGGGAATACTCAAGGCTCAGTGACCCAGGGAGACACCACCCCTCCTGCTGTGTTAGAAAGCATCTGTAGACAGTTGACTGCAGGGTGGAGCTCGGCCTGGTGATGTGAAGGGTGGATCAATAGATCCTGGCTGCTGATGGGATTGGGGAGCTAATTGGGGCTGCCCTTTATGAATCTATTTTGACAAGATGTTCCTACACCACATAGACAACTGTTTGATTGTATTTGGAATCACCCTGCGTATCCATTTGCAATCCTAGGCGTTAATGTTCTTTCCTGTATTTATCAGAAGTTACAGAAAAAGAAAGAAGATCAATGATTACCATTTTTGACCACAAAAAAGCTCATATCATTCAATCAATCACATTTGGAAAAAAAGTAGATGCCTCATGGAACCCCAAATTACCATTACGTCAAAAACTGGTCCGCAAGCTACCATCAGGTATGTTGAACAAAAAATGAACCCTTAGATATGTATTTTAATGTTTTTTTCTTTCATGCATGTGTTTCTAACACATTTATAAGATTATCTCTTTGTTGCTTTGTATGTCCCTCCCCCACAGTATAACCCCTGCTTTCACTATATTTGATGTCAGTATAACTTGTGGAGGAGATGGGGAAAAACCAGTTGTTTAAGGATACAGGTGGACCTGTTGCAACAATGAGAAGTACAAGTTGTCATGTCCAAAACGAGCTTTACAACGTCAGTGGGTGGGGGGAGGAGTAAAGGGGGAAGGAGAAGGATTGGGATTTGGGGGAAAGCGGGAGGCTGGGAAGGGATGTGAACGGTAAATAAAGGAGGAGGCTGCAATGCTTGGTAAGAAATGTATGCATTATCCTGCCCATGTAATTGTAACCCCTCTGTACAGTATGTTCACAAATAAAATTAAATTAAATTTAAAAAATAAATAAATAACTAAAAAAGAATAAAAAACTCCTTAAACTTTTAGAGAACTTGTTAAAAGAATATAGTAATTCTAGTTTAAAATAAATACTTACATAGTACAATAATACCTACTAAGTCTCTAATATTGTGCTTGATAATCTCATTACTGTATATATATATATGCTTCATAATTGTATTAGTCTAGGTAAAGTGAACGTTTGTTATTTATAGTCATACATCCTAAATTTAATAAATTAAATATATAAATAAAAATTAATAAACTTAATATAAGAGCTTTGATGGCCTTTCCTCAGTATCTAGCAGAGTATAAAAGGATCAACCTATAAGACAGAGCTATTAATATTACTACCAGGAAAATAGTTCCTTACTTATATTATGGTGATAAATTTTTGATGATATAGAAAACAATATTAAAAAGAGATGAAGATCATTTACAATTTCACCACCCTGAAATAAGCACTCAGTATTTTGGCTCTGGTCCTATACAATGTCATTTAATGCAAATGCAACTTATTTTCAGTAATGTTTCGTTAGTTAGAATTTAATTTCTTAGATGCAACAGAAATTCAAACAAAGCAGCTATGGAAACACACACCCATGTGTAATGTTAGCCTTCAGGAGGCAGACAGGAGAATTCTAAGTTCTAGGCTGCATGAGATCTTGTCTCAAAAGAAAAAAAAGAGCCAGGCATCAGTGGCTCAGGCCTATACTCCCAGCTACTCAGGAGGCTGAGATCTGAGGATCGTGGTTCAAAGGCAGCCCAGGCAGGAAAGTCTGAGAGATTCATCTCCAATTAACCATCAGAAAACTGGAAGTGGCACTGTGGCTCAAGTGGTAGAGCAGTAGCCTTTCACTGAAGAAGAGCTGAGGGATAGTGCCCAGCCCAGAGTTCAAGCCCCACAACAGCCAAAACAAAAGAAGAAGAAGAGGAAGAAGAGGAAGAAGAGGAAGAAGAAGACATCTTTTTTTGCCACTTTTTTTAGTGTGCTTTATGGTTATGAGGTGACACTACATCACCAAACATCACATCTCTATACCAAGAAGAAAGAAGAGATGAAAATGGTACAAAAAAATAAAACATAAACCTTTTCCTAATGATACTTTGCTAAATAGATGACATACATTCAAAAGAAGCTAAATGTGGATTTTCTAGAAAAACTATTAAATCAAAAAATAATTTTGAAAAAATAATGCAAAGAAAAAAGAGATAAATTATATTAATTAGATGTTGAGACAAGGAGATATTAGAAAAGCTGTAAGTTAGATGGTGTTTCTGAAGGAGAGAGAGAGAACAGAAGTAATATTTGAAATGATAATGACTGAATATTTTCTAAAACTGATAATTATATGAATCCTTAGATTTGTGAGACAAAATAAATCCAAAGACATAAAAGACACATAACTAAAAAATATTGGAGGAGGGAAGGGATAGTAGGAGATATAGGAGGAGGTAACAATGTTTAACAAAAAAATGTATTCATTACCATACTCATGTAACTGTAACCCCTCTGTACAAAATATTTACAATAAAACTAAATTAAAATATATACACTAAGGGCAAAGTGGTTTTAAGGCAGTAGCAGTCATAGGAAAGGAAAAGTCAATTGCTTAACAGAAGAATAAGATTCCTTGCTGCAATTATGACAGTGGAAAGGAAGTAGTGTAATGCCTTTAAAATGCTTGAAGAGAGCTGAGCACTGGTGGCTCATGGCTATATTCCTAGCTACTTGGGGTAGGGCAGAGGGCAGTTTGAGATCTGGAGAATTGAGATTAAAGCCACCCTTGGCAGAAAAGGAGACACATTTTCACTTAATTAGCAAAGCCATACTGAAGGCATAGTTCAAATGGTAAAGAGTCAGCTGTGAGTAAGAAAACCAAGTGAGAGCAAGAGGCATTGAGTTCAAGTCATGGGTACCAGCACACACACACACACACACACACACACACACACACAGCTGAGTTAAAGTAGCAACCAACCAAGAATTCCATAACCAACTATGTTATTAATCAACAATGAGCAGAAAGGATAAAGAAAAACAACAAGGCCACATTGAGACTATTTTCTCAATTTTTGTGTGTGTGTGTGAAAATTCCATAAGTGAAAGAATACTAAAGTAAATGCCTATATGTGCCTAAGCTTTTGAACAATTCATATTCTGCCACATTCCCCAGCCTCTGGCTAGGAGGCTCTGCTTCCTTCCTCGTGGAGAAAGGACCGCCTCCTCCGGGACTGTTCCTCACGCTCATTGGTTATCTCACTGCACAGGAAATGGATGTGGTGTGGAACCACTGAAGTGTTTCTGGAGTAGACTTCACAACAATTCATTCTTAACTTAATCTGCAGGTTCAAAACTAAGGATAATCCACTGCAGAGCTACAATGCCACTATCAAAGAGAAGGGAAACAAAGAAATAATCTGTGTAATTTAACAGATAATCCATGTGTATATTTTCCCAATTTTTCCAAGAAGACCTCAACAGTTGTCCTTTGAAGCCAAATCCAGTATGACTGACAATTGCTGTTCCCCGCGGCTTTAGGGCTAAGCCAAGTCATACAGTGGAACGCCTGGAGTTTTAGGATTGCTTCCTTAGCCTTGTCTCTTGGTCTCTTCTCTTTCATATGAACTAGTATCTGAAGGACAGGCCATGGGTACGGAAGAGCAATGTGGAGAACAGTGGGTGAATCTCGGTGGTTCCCCAAAGAGCAGCAGCCCCAGGAACTCAATAAAAACGAAAACTCTTCCCTCATTTCCTAAATTATATTCTCAAGCACCCAGCTGCTATTCTGTTTTGTTTGGGTTTTTGTTTATATGCTACTGGGGATCGAACAACTCAGGGCTTCCTACATGATAGGCAAATGCTGTACCACTTGAGCTATTCTTCCAGTTCTGTTGTTTGTTATTTAATTTTGAGATAAGATCAAACTAACTTTTGGCCTCGAATCCAAGATCCTCCTGCATCCATCCATATCCCATCTAGTTTGGATTACAGATATGTACCTTCACACTCAACCTAGTTCAGTTATGGTTTAAATATTTTTCTTTTCCTTTTTTGTGTGTGTGTGCTGGTACTAAGATTTTTTTTTTTTTGATCAGGTCGTGGGGCCTGAACTCTGGGCCTGGGTGCTGTCCCTCAGCTCTTGAGCCACAACACCACTTCCGGTTTTTTTCTTTTTGCTTATGTGGTGCTGAGGAATTGAACCCAGGGCCTCATGCATGCAAGGCAAGCGCTCTACCACTGAGCCACCTTCCCAGCCCTCAGTTATGGTTTAATAAGTCCTGGTAGATAGCAGTCCACATAAAGTAAGAGACTTTCCTATAAATACCAGCCCTATGGATAATAAAAAATTTTTAGTGTAGTCCTTAGTTTTCTTCAGCTTTCTGATTTAAAATGGAGTCCTTATCTTCCTTTGGCTGCTGTGATGTTAAATCCAAAAACTGGATCTGACACACCTAACAAGTGTTCACTCAGCTGAACTGTTTCTGTGTACCAGCCATGTTCTTGGTTTTCTTTTTGCTTTACATGAGTGATGATGGCTGAAGCTGCATATCAGTGGATTGGTGGGAACAAGTTATACCAACCTAGGGAAAAAATCTTTGGAAGAAGAGCTTCCCCCTTAGAGATCTAATGTGCAACAGTAACAAGGTACCCAGATAACCTCCTCTGTCCTTCAGGGCTATCATTAGCATAAGGGGGAGGAGAGACCTGGCCACAACCATTGCAGCTTTACATTGTTAGTGTCCTTTTTTATTCTTTGTATTGTGTTTCCTCTGAACAACCAAATGAAAACCAGAAAACAAAGAATACAAGGAGTATTTTATTGCATTCGTTTGCTTCTGAATTTATGTTCTGTTTTTATGATTTTTTTTTCCAAAGGGTGTACAAAGCTGGGCTGGGAAGGTGGCTCAGTGGTAAAGGGCTTGCTTGCCTTGCATGCTTGAGGCCCTGGGTTCAATTCCTCAGCACCACATAAGCAACAACAACAAAAAAAACGCTGGAAGTGGCGCTGTGGCTCAAGTGGTAGAGCGCTAGCCTTGAGCTGAAGAGCTGAGAGGCAGCGCCCAGGCTCAGAGTTCAGGCCACGACCAGACCCAAAAAAAAAGGGGGGGATACAGTTCTAAGAGTGCTCAAAATCGGAGCATTCACTATTCATGTCCTTCATTGATGAGAACAAGAATTGGCTCAACTTTCTTGGAAGACCAAGTGGCAATACATGTTGACATGTAATATGTGTAACTGGACTTGAAATCTCACCTATAGAAATTCCTGCACACATGAATAAGAAAATGCCTACCTAGAAGGCTGTTTACTGCAATGTTTCTTGTAATATAAATTGGGCAGATATAATTTGGATGGTTGCTCATAAGCAAATATTCTATTATGGCACATTGGTATAACCTAATGATCCTGTTATAGAATTATTCCATTATTCCATGGCATATTAGGGATATTTAAAAATACACTAAAGAGTAATATACAACAAAATTAGAATTTTATCAGCAAAGCAATTTATACATACATATGTGGGTGAATGCCTATGTATACAGACATAGTCTGGAGTAACTCTAAGTTTTGTTTTTTTTAATGCTAGAGATTGAACACAAGGCCTTATAAGGATGAACTCTGGCCCCAAACCCCACCCTCGGTGCTTCATAGTGATACTTTTGTTTAGAAGCATTGAGAAGGTGAAAGAGATATTTCACTTTGTTGTTGTTGTTGTTGGTCGTGGGGCCTGAACTCTGGGCCTGGGCGCTGTCTCTCACCTCTTCAGTTCAAGGCTAGTGCACTACCACTTGAGTCACAGCACCACTTTCAGCCTTTTCTGGTTATGTGATGCTGAGGAATCGAACCCAGGGCCTCATGCATGCAAGGCAAGCAAGCCCTTTACCACTGAGCCACCTTCCCAGCCCTGATATTTCACTTTTTAAGCCATGTTTTCTTCACTATATTTGTTGCAAGAAGAAAGTATTCTTTCTGTGATCATTCCTTTGTAGAAGAAAGCATAGGGAAATCCTGTGATTTACAACACTACTGATAAACCTGAAGGATATTATGTGGAATGAAGTAAGCCAGACACCAAAAGCAAAATACTGCATAAAATCACATGTATATGAAATCTAAAATGTCAAACTCCAAGAAGCACAGAACAGAATGATAGCTGCAGCCAAGGAAAATATGGGGAGATGTTTGCCAATGAGGCAGTTTCAATTAGGCAAGACAACTGCATTCTGGAGATATAATGTAATGTGACTGTACATAATAATACTACATACTTGAAATTTGCTAAAAGAGTAGATCTTAAATGTGTTCACCATATAAACACACACATACACACAAGTAGCTATGTCAACTGATGAATATATGAATAAGCTGTGATTGTCTTCTGTATAATTATATTTTCTATAATTATAGAGTATCATAGTTGTATAGTATCATATAGCTCTACATCTTAGATATGTATAATTCCAATTTTTTATTTCTCAATATTATCAGGGGAAATGCCAAAAAAATAGGGACTGGGGAGAACCAAAAGGCACAGGAGCCACTTGTGAGAAAACAAGTCTGTTTCTCAAGGCAGTGGTGGATGCAGGCTCTGTCTCTTGTGGACTGACTGGCAAGAGCTCATACCGTGGGCTTTAGAGACTCAACAGGTGCTGGAAAGTTCCATCTGTAGCCTAGCACTAATCCTTCTAGAGAGAAATAAACAAAGCAACGACATTCTGGAAGATACTGCAAAAGCTTTGAGGTCTTGTCCTTGAGCTCTAAAGCTAGAGGAGACAGAGATTCTTATGAGCTGGGATTTGTTTATTTTCTTTCTTTGAAGTCAATGCCAAGAATCCAGATGGGTAAAATGGCCCCTATATATTTCTCTTCATTTTGGAACACTCATCTATTTAGAGGTGTATGTGATTGTGAGAAGAAAAAAAAAGAGATTCACTTCTGCAATATGAATGTCAATATCTTAATTAGAAAATTCCCCCTTGGAGCTGATTAGCAACTAAACTGATTTAAGCATTCTATTCTTAAATCCTGCTCTCGATTTGTCTTGTTTTAAAGAATTTGTTCTCAAACAAAAGACAAAATCCCCCCTTTCTAAGAGAAATTTTCAGTTTCAAGCCATTTCTGATCAATTACTTGAAATCACAAGGTTAGTCTTCTAGTTATAGCATCACTCCATTGTTTTCCAATGCTAAATAAACATTTGAAAAATCACTAATTGAAGGTTTTTTTTTTCTTTTTTAGATTTTGCATTTGGGGATAGTGTAGACAAGTAAGTTTTCTTTAAATTTGTTTTTTACTTTTATTGTCATATTAATTTACAATTATCTTGTCTCTAAATTATCCCCATTTCTTAAAATAGATTTTTCTAAAACAGATTTTGATGAGTTAAGATAAAATGACTATCTTCGTCACTAGACAGAAAATGGCTATTTTTCTATGATAAACAAGTTCCTGCTATTTACTCAAAGTGGATATATTTAGGTTTTTAATAACCTTGTATAAGTAAAAAGGTGATTTCATGCATAAAACATTAAAACGTATTAAGAATTATTTGTTATTCCAAATGAGGAACTTTCCTTATTTACTTTTTCTCTAAATATGCTCAGTGGAAGCAATTATCATGAAGATTAGCATTTCACACTTCCTAGAATTTACATTTTCAAAAGTAAACACTTCATTAATTCTGTAGAAGATATTTCAAATTTGTGAATACTGATGAGCTTTTAAATTACTGTTGTTTGCATTTAAAAGTCTTTTCATTGGCTTCAGTGTTGAAAAATATTGTTCACAAAATATGTCCAGATACTCTATTTTAAAAACAACAACCCATATATACAATAAAAATATTGCTTAGCTAGAACATCATTTGTTATTGAAGCCAACCTGGACAGAAAAGTCTTAGAGATTCCATAACCAGCAAAAAATCCAGGCTGGAGGCCTGGTTCAAATGGTGTGCACCATAATGTGAAGCCCTGAGTTCAAGCCTTACTACTGCCACACAAAAAAGGAAGTCATTTGGTAGTAAAGCCTATACATTATTTGTGAGTGGCACTGTACTATACTTAATACAGAAAAATTCAGGGCTGGTATATGACTCACGTAGAGCTCTTGGCCTAGCATGAACAATGCCCTGAGTTCAACACCAAGCATTATAAAAACAAAACAAAAAAATTCACTTTGGTCAAATTCATTTTTTTCTCACATAATTGCTACCTGTACAGGACTGTGTTTGATGACCCAGAAGATGCTGTGTTTGTAAGGTCCATGAAGAGATCAATAATGGCTATTTCCTCCATGAACTGGGAGACTGTTCCAACACGAGAGGAAAAATACTTTCAAGAGGAAGGCACAGAACCTGCTAAAATGTTCACTCTTACTCTGCGATAACCCAGCAATTCCAGAAATCCTCAGAGTGCTCAATCTCACCTTAAGCTTCCTGGTAACATAACGCATTATATATTTACTCTGATTTCAAACTTCTAAATGTAAACAGAAACACCAAGAGTGAAAATCAATGCCCACACTGTAATGTTTCTTAAGAACAAGATGGAAAATTGGATCATTGAGATGAGGTGAGAATTATACTCATCTTCATATCAAATTGTACATATTAAACCAGTTTTCCTTTGTTCTCCAATATTTGCAAAGTTTCCTACTGTTAGACTTTAATCTATAATTTAATCTATAATTTGCTACTCTTTGACAATAATAAATTATGAAACAAGCTATTTATATCCATAGGCATGATTTATTTTAAAATCAACACAAGAAAATGTGAAAAAGAGCAAGACCTTCAGATACCAAATCCAAGTTCTCTGTAAACACATGTACTAAAACTTACAGGCTTGTGTCCCTCTCTAAACAATAGTTACAGTTTTTTGAAAGGATGTGGCCTTTGAAAGGCCAGTAAGAGGGTAAAAGTCAGCCTTTTAGGGTGGAATACGGCACCCAGTTTTACAAGAACTACATATACAGTAGATTTAGCCAGTATTTAATCACAAATTTTAAGAAGTGCTTTGCTTAAAGCATGTGCTAAGAGAGCCCTAGTTCCTGTTTCAGTTCCTTCGAAGGATGTGACATTTCTGAAGGAAGGTACAAATACTCTACAAACGTAGAGAGAATCTCTCTGCAGGAACCATGTAAAGTTCAAACTTCTCAGGCTAGTTCCTATATAAAACACTTGGCTGAACTACAGCAAAGACTGTTTAGCATACAGTTTTTCTTCAATTTATCAGATCTGGATAAGTAGAACTTCACTATAATAAATGCTATTTATATGTACTTTATTCACAGATAAGTTAGGATTTTTTTAAGCTACCTATTTCTGTAGCCATAAAAATTTTCTTTCTCTCTCACACCTGTGCTGTTGGTCCCTAGAGCCTACATTTCTTCTGTATGCAGATTCATTTTTCTTTCAGGCAAACTGCTGAGGAGTCAACCTCAGAAAGAGAATGGAAATGGCTTTGTTGTATTCTGAAAGAAAAATCGCTCTGTAGGAATAGCTGTTCGATTGCAGATCAGAAGCCAATAGGAAATCAGGGCATGGTAGACAGAGCTTTGCCCTCCCGCTGTGGAGCCATGCAGGTAGTCTCACGGAGCAATGAAGATGTGTTCATAGGAGCCATCCAGCTGCTGGCCAGCAGGAGGACCAATCATGCTGGCAAAGACTACAGTTACGGTTGCATGGCCTTTACTCCTCAGATAGCTGAGGACCTGCAGGGGCCTCCACTCGCCCTTCGTCCCTTCCTGGAGATTCTTTCTCCCCTTCCACAGAATCTTTAGGATTGGAATCCTCTTGGGAGATACCCGTTTCAGCCTCTGCTTGTTCTTCATTAACACAATTAGAATTGACATCGAGTTTGCCATCTAAGGGAAAAAAAAATTGTCAGATACTCATAAAACTTTACATATATTAACTTATCTTTATTATATCACCATTGTTTTCCAAAGGAAAACCTGAAAAGAGGCATAGGTTACACAGCTCTATGCCCACAAAACCAGAAGAATCAGAACTGAACTCAGCCTCTAGTCCCACAGCCAGGTCTCTCCACCAGGATTATTGTTGGGGACGTGACAAGTACAGTTTTCCATTTCTTTAGCCTGACACTTTGGTTAGGTGATTACCTTTCAGGAGCCCATTTTACATTTGTGAAGAAGAAAGTGTTTGTCACATTTAGAATACTTTGAGACACATGGCTGATGTTTAACATCTGGTGTTCCCACTCTATTGGGAATCCCACTCTCTCATGATGTCACACATGAATAGCTAGCACATAATAATGTTTGCCTTAGAAAACAGAAAGCAAAGCTATGCTCACAGTATTAAATGTTTTAATTTTGCATAATCATTCATTCACACCAACAGTGTTTCTCAATCAAGTGATAAAAAGAACGTGGTCCCTTCATGGGTAGAGATAGAGGAGGCAATTTTTCAAACTACAAACACTCTCCAAAGATTCAGGATGTATTCTCTGGGATAAGGCACAGATCTAGGAGTAGTCATCTCCAGTGTGAGTCACCGCTGAATCAAGTCACTGTTTCTGAAGAAAATAATTCATCTCGAGAGAGAAAGAGCAAAAAAAAAATGTGGAACTTACTGCTTTAATGATTGAAGAAATTTGTGTAGATCAGCAATTTGTAATTTATAAATACATCTGGTAATTGAATCAATAGTATAAAAATTTAGGAATTTTTAACCAGGTGTTGGTAGATCACACCTATAATCCTAGCTATTCAGGAGGCTGAGATCTGAGAATCACTGTTTGAAGCCAGCCCAGGCAGGAAAGCCCTGTGAGACTCTTATCTCTAATTAATCACAGAAAAAGCCAGATGTGACCCTGTGGCTCAAAGTGGTAGAGCACTAGCCCTGAGTAGAAAGGAGCTCAAGGATAATGCTCAGGTCCACAGTTCAAGCCCCAGGACAAGCAAAAAAATAAAAAATAATGATAATAGAATTTTTTATTTTGTTCATTTATTTATTGTCAGTCATGGAGCTTGAACTCTGGGCCTGAGAGCTGTCCTTCAGCTCTTCAGCTCAAAGCTAGTGCTCTACCACTTGAGCCACAGCACCACTTCCGGCTTTTTCTGCTTATATGGTGCTGAGGAATTGAACCCAGTGCCTCATGCAAGGCAAGCATTCTACCACTGAACCACCTTCCCAGCCCAAGAAATTTTTACACATATATTCTACAGAATATTGAAGTGTTCTGATAGCCATTTGAGAAAAGTATTTCCTTGTTCAAAGATGTTAAATTCTTTCTAAATGGAGTATGTGATTGCCCATTATTCCAGGGTAGTCACTCGAGTAGTGAAGTTGTGGATTAATCCACATTTCTTAGAATTTTATGTCTCTGATTTCCAGAGATGGCTCAGCTGACTATATTCTATGCAGTATCTCAAAGGTTTAAATGGGGCACAATTAAGTATGATCCTCATGTTGGCCACCCCAGAGTCTCCTCATGTTTCTTTTCTTTTTTTTTTTTTTTTTGTGCTCAATGTTAAGCTCACAGCCTTTATTTCCCCATGAAGAAGCCAAATGAGCTCAGTGGTATTATACATACTCTTTTCCTCTTGACTCTTTTCTTTGCCAGCCTCCAATTGTTGCTTCTCATAAATGTCCTTCAGATTCTTACAGATTTTCTTATGAGTAAACCAGTGTGCTTTCTGGCAAGTTTGATCACAATATATGACCTGAAAGCAATGGCATATTTATGTTCATTTTAAGAGGAAGGATTTTTATCACTTTTCAACTATGATATTACCAAACTATTCTGTAAAAATTTTAAAATATTTTAAAACTATGACATTTGATTAGGGATTGTTCTGTTGTGAGTTGGTGGTGATTTATCATTTTTAGCTTATACTTTAAAGCAATAGTAATATTAAACAGATTATAAAAGACTTTAAGAACCTACTGTGTAAGAGAATTGGAATGGTAAGATGACAAAGAAAAACAATTGTCCCAGAGGAAGCTAGGGCTGAAAAACAAAATAGGATAGGCAGATGGGAGGGAGGCAGACCCTCAATAGTACAGCTTAGCCCCCAGCATGGGACATAGAAGTAATGGGAGCACAAAGGAGGCAAAGACCCACTCCAGCTAGGACAGTGGAATAAGCAAAGAAGTGAGAAATTCCATATACTATACTGAAGAACCTCAGCCTGGAAATTGGTAGGACACTTATCCCATAGGGTAAATGGACACACAAGACAACACATGTTTGCCTGCCATATCTGGATGTGAGAGTAACACAAACAATGTGCCTTTTACGTAGATAATAGACAGTGTAGCTCCTAAGGATTATAGCTTGTTGACAGAAAAAATTGTCAATTTAAAAAGAATTCACAAAGACTGTAAATCAACATCAAAAGGATTAAAATTATGTATTTATGAAGTATCTTAACATAGGTTTTTATATCCGCACCAGTCTCAGCCCATTTATTCTCTAACTTTTCTCCTAATTTCTCATGTTCAGCCATTCATATCCTTTTTCCTATGGGGTGCTAAGCAGAGGCCAGATAGTCTCTGGGGGAAAGATTAGTGCCCAGATCTTTATCTAAACTATAGTCCTCTTTCTAAATGACTATTAGATACAATACTTTCATGCATAAGAATTGCTTGAAACACTAATACCAACTGTTAGGTTTATAGCCATTAAAGCTTGGCTACCAGTGAAGTTTGAAGAATTCCATTCTTACCATTTTGCATACAGAACATCTTTTACTGGCTCCCTTTTCTCCACAGGTGGTACAAAATTCAACATCCACAAAACCCACCTGACCAGTGATGGCCTGCGTTAGTACAGCAAATGCAGTGGGATCAGAACCCTAGAGTAGATATGAAGAGGGTAAACAAACTTGTAACCACCATAAAAGACAAAAGGACAGCCATGACATCTAGAAACACACGAGGAAAGAAATTATTAAGTTAGTCTTTACACAGAATTTAGCATATAAACAAACAATACAAAACTAAACTCTCAATAAAAAGAAAACTCTCTATTCTAAAATGAAAGCATTTTCAACTAAGATTATTCCACAAGCATACACTGAACTTGGGAGTAGAATTTTGTCTGAGATATGACATAAAGAAAATATTCAGGGGCTAGGAAGGTGGCTCAGTGGTAGAGCGCTTGCCTTGCATGCATGATGCCTTGGGTTCGATTCCTCAGCACCACATAAGCAAAAAGAAAAAAGCCGGAAGTGGCGCTGTGGCTCAAGTGGTAGAGCGCTAGCCTTGAGCTGAAGAGCTGAGGGACAGTGCCCAGGCCCAGAGTTCAGGCCCCACGACCGGACCAAAAAAAAAGAGAAAATATTCAGATTCTGCAGGACAAACATAGAAAATATTTAACAATTCTTATGCCTCTTAATTGTATATTTATCTAGAGTAAGACTGTTAGATTACCAGTGTACATGTAAGAGTG